ACTCCTGTATCAGACTTATGGAGGTGACCAATTAAACTCAAAACATGAAAAAATTGTGAAGTAAATGCCAAGCTCCTCACTGAAGCTAACATTTAAAATAGCCTAAGTTTATATTTCTACAGTACCATTTGTTTCATTAGATTTTTTCAGTTTTCTGCAGTCCTTACTTTTTATTGGGTGCTTGAAGTTAATTTCTTTTTCGAATAAATAAATACATACAAAAAAAAAATGAGATCTTTGAAATTTTCTATGTTGTTCAGATAGATCTCCGTCTTAAAGGTTGCCTACCCCTATGACTAATTGACTACCTATGTTTACTTCAGGTATCAGATACTTGTAGATGTTAAGATGTAGAAGTTAATATACCAATGAAAACAATATACCACAGAAATTTTTATGGCAAGATGATATGAGTTATAGAATTCCACTTCTTTCTCAACCCACCTTTGATAATATTTCCTTCTATATCCAGGCTGTGATTTTGGCAAACCCATGATGATTATGTCTTTTAAAATTCCTCAATATTTATTTATTTTAGGTACTTATATAGTGCAGTCAATTTACGCAGTTCTTTACATAAATATATTGTACATTCACATCACTCCCCTAACCCTCAAGGGGCATACAATCTAAGGTCCCTAACTTACATTCATATACATACATATACTAAGGCTAATTTAGACAGGATCCAATTAACCTACCAGCATGTCTTTGGATTTTGGGGGGAAACCATAGTACGCAGAGGAAACCCACGCAGTCACAGGGAGAAACATGCAAACTCCAGGCAGGTGGTGCCATGGTTGGGATTTGAACCAATGACCCCAGGACTGCCAGGCTGAAGTGATAACCATTTATCCACTGTGCAATATTAGAGTAAAAGATGGTCATGCATTTCTATACTATAAGGGTGTGTTTTATATTTACTTTTGCAGTTTCTCTTTTAGAGTTGAATGCCATTTGTTGTGGCATATATGTATTTTTTTTTTCTTAAGATGCAAAGTGGTCCACTAACTGAATTAATAATATATTTGAAACATTTAGAGTGTCATACTTGTCAAGTTTTGTATAATTGCATTGCATTCTCCCCTCACTTTCTTTACCTATGAAGAGATGCATTTGTCAATGTCTACTGTGCAAAATGTTACTAATTTGCCTTGTGAGACAGAACATTAAAATGTTGGCAGAAATATATTCAGAGTGTATATATAGTTTTGCCAGATAAATTTGACTTAATCTTAACAGTCATAAATCGCATAATTCCTCCTAAATCTCTTTATAGAGCACGGATTTGTTTGGATGGCAAGAAGATCAAGCAGATCTGGTTCCAAATCTGTGTTATAGTATATACTTGATAGTAAGCAAGCCATCAGGACAGAAATATGGGGCTACAATGGCTGAGATTTGACTTGGAAACTGTTGGTTCTTTAGCTGGCATGTTGAAGCATTGGTCTCATAATCCTGAATCATTGGAGTTGATTTACCAAAAGCAGCAGGCTTTTTCTTTGTATTTTTTCTTGCACATGATTGGATGATGGAAGGGAAACGGGATCAACTTCATTCAACTCTGTGGAACATTTGCTTGCAAAATGCAACGTCACTTGCAAAGTGAACAGTCTATTTGCCTTCAGTAAATCAACCTCATTTACCTAAAATAAGTCTTAATTGTAATTTATTTTTATTTGTTGCATTCTTAATTTGGCCCTGTTCTGGGTGTTAAGCACTGACCATACCCTTTCCCCACCTGGGACATAATTTAAGTCTTCCCCTGGATGACCAGTGTTGTGTGTATTAGGGCCCTTTCACATGGGCGGACCAATCAGGTATGCCTGTCCGTTTTTCAGGCGGACCCAATTGGACCACCCATTTTTCTCTATGGGGAGGACATGTGTGTGTGTACACCGGCCTACATCTGATCTGATCAGGTGACAGTTGGATGTAAACGGACAGGTGGTCTTTTTACATCTGACTGCCCCATAGAGAACAGTGAGCTCTGTCTGTGTCCACTCTGCACAAGAGTAACGGACTTGTCGTCCGCCTGCTCAGTGGGGATCAGCAGACAGATTCCCCCCTGAGCAGGCAGATCCCCTTGGCAGAGTCTGCCCGTGTGAAAGGGTCCTTAGAGATGTTTGTTTTCTGTTGAATACAATGCTGATAAATCAAAACATACATTTGCAAACACATATTGAAGCCACACTGCCACATGATAGCACCTTTGTAAAGTGTAGTCCCTAACTCCCCAATAATGGGGAATATACAACAATGCACAAACTAACAGCAAGCTCATCTGGAGGCAATTTCTCCTTAGAGCCCAGACATCACTTTTGCAAAAGCAGCTGAAGACTTCCAGTATGTCTGCATCAAATACAAAAAGTAAAAATGGCAGCACTTTGATCAGTTTGAAACTAGCAAAAAGGAGAAATATACTATAAATACTGTACATTTATACTGTGTTGGACTATGAATTTAACATTTAATCAGGGGAAAACATAAAGCCAAAAGCACTGAGAATCTCAAACACTTGAAATGTTTATTTGCTTGAGTAATCTATTATGTATTCTTTATTTAATATCTATTGAAAAGCCCTGGGAACAAATAGGGAAAAATAAGGATGTATGAATTAAAAAGGCACATTTTTTGCATATTTATGTTTATTTTGCATATCAGTGGATTGCTGGTGCAATGTTAGACTCTTCCCAACACCTAATCCGACTCTGACTGTACTCCTGTATGGGCTTCCATTTGCAAAGCCGGAGGAAGTGTCTATGAACTAGAAGTGTGCAGATTACCGAACTCTTAGCCTATTTAGAACTATAAGTCCATATGCCATGGTGGCAGACGGGACTTGTAGTGCAATTTATTCCCAAATCTCTGTGATTGAATGGCACAGCTGTGTGGGCAACTTTTTTGCATATTTATGTTTATTTTGCATATCAGTGGATTGCGGGTGCAATGTTAGACTCTTCCCAACACTTTATCAGACTCTGATGCCGAATGAATGACACAGCTGTGTGGGCAGAGCCCTTCACAGCTAAACTAGGTTAAAAGTGACAGCTTCTGTGGGGCAGAAGAAACTCCCACAGGGTCATGGAGGGGAAGGTAAGTGGCGTGACAGTGGTGGTGGTGGGGGGGCATTTGCATCAGGTAACACCCTAAATACAAATGTAATGTATAGCATGGTGCAAAAGGTGAATTTCACATTTAAAGGAGTAGAACGTTATCAAACATGGAAAGCTTTGGGCAAAATCAATCATTTATGAAGCACAGATGTAAAACTGAACTTGTGAAGTAAATATTTGTGTGGGGAGTACAAGAGGCTATTATGAAGTCAGATTTGAGGTACTTCAAATAAGTTTTAGATCTTGTGGGAAGTTTTTCTTTATTTCATGATTACATGAAAATTATTTTTTTTTTTTACAGGCCCAATAAGCAGTATTCTGGTAAACAAGTATGGAAGCCGCCCAGTAGTATTAGCAGGAGGATTGCTATGCTGTTTAGGAATGGTTGCTGCTTCATTCTGCAATAGTGTCCTTCAGTTGTACGTCTGCATTGGTGTAATTGGTGGTAAGTGCTAATATGCTACTGATATTCTAGTGCTTCCTTTGCAGCTGCTGCTACTAAAACTATTATTTCTACTATTACTACTACTACTACTATTAAACTCCTCCAACTAACACTACTTCTGACAGCATGTTTTGTTTTCTTGGCATTCAATCATATTTTCTGTTTTTTAACTGCTTCAGAAATACTGCTACAGGGAGGCAGGGCTGCACAAAATCACGTATATATACGTGATTTTCCATTTCCGAGTAGGGGGTGCGCATGCTCGCTGCCCTACCTGCGCTACCTTTGGCGGCTACAGATGTTGATCACCGGGTACCGGACGGAGATTCCCCATGGGCACCCAGCGATCGCCGAGAAACAGTAACAGGGGAGAGACCTGTGTGTAAACAACACAGATCTCTCTGCTGCCAGCAATAACATGCTGTTCTGTATTTCTATGTGCAGCAGAAAACACACACAGCACACACAGTAAAACAGCACACAGAAAACAGTTAACCCTTTGATCGCCCCAGATGTCAACCCCTTCCTGCCCAGTGTCTCTAGTACAGTGTCAGTGCTTTTTATTAGCTCTGATCATGATATTAGTGTCATTGAGATATCAGTGGCAGTTAGTCAGTTCCCCCCAGTGTCAGAATGCCCACCGCAATCCTGCAGTCCTGCTATGAGTCGCTGATCGCCGCCATTACTAGTATTAAAACTAAGTTAGTAAGTTGGTAATTTGAAACATTAATATGTTAATCTGTTGATAAGTGTTAGGCAGATTAGTTGTTCATTTTCAGGGTGGGTAAGGACAATCTTTCAGTTTTATGGATCATCCTACAGGTTGATCAACCATTGTGAAGATAATAAGTGTTAGGGATAGGGATCATATATGTTTTGCATATTTATAAGAGAGAGTAATTACTTGTAAAATGCATCTCCACTTCAAAATAATGTAATTCTGAACATGTTGAACAAAAATAATGCTCAAACAAATGTGCAATAATTACAACTTAATTGCCAAAATACATTACTATTGATCACAAAAACTTTGGAAAGAAGGATACAGATACATAAGTTAAAAAACCGTGAAAAAATAAAACACTATACCTCCATTCTAACTAGAAAAAAGTCAATATTCAAAACTAACAAATTTACTTTGTTCTTGTAGCTTGGCATTGCTATGCATTTGTTATTAATGCAATTCTGATTGACTATGTTTTTTTTTTTCTGTTGTAGGTTTTGGATTAGCATTTAATCTTCAGCCTTCTTTAACAATTATTGGAAAATACTTCTTCAAAAAACGGCCTATTGCAAATGGACTGGCCATGGCAGGAAGCCCAGTATTTTTAAGTACTTTAGCACCACTAAATCAGTTTCTTTTCAATAAATTTGGATGGAGAGGGAGTTTTTTAGTGTTAGGAGGACTCCTGTTAAATTGTTGTGTGGCTGGATCTCTCATGAGGCCTATTGGACCTAAACCTGTACAAAAAGACGTAGAGAAAGCAGAGAAATTGTCAGTATGTCAGAATATTAATAAATATTTAGATTTATCACTTTTTAAACACAGAGGCTTTCTTATCTATTTATCCGGGAATGTCATTATGTTTTTGGGCTTCTTTGCTCCAATTGTTTTCCTGGCACCATATGCCAAGCATATGGGAATTGATGAGTATTCATCTGCTTTTTTACTATCCATATTGGCTTTTGTTGACATGGTTGCAAGACCTAGCATGGGAATGGTTGCAAACTCTAAGTATGTACGTCCAAGGATACAATATTTTTTCAGTTTTGCAATTTTATATAATGGTATATGCCACATTTTGTGCCCCTTTGCTAACGATTACACAGGATTAGTAATATATGCAGTATTCTTTGGCTTTGCCTTTGGTATGGTAAGCAGTGTTCTATTTGAAACACTAATGGACCTTGTTGGAGCAGCAAGATTCTCCAGTGCTGTTGGACTTGTGACCATTGTGGAATGTTGCCCAGTATTAATTGGACCTCCACTGGGAGGTAAGAATCTTCCCTTTTTCTTTTTTAAAAGCATTTCCATAGTGTAAAAATCCACAATATCCAAATCTGTATATTATTTCAAATCCTGCTAATTTAATTGTTGATTTTTCCTACCTTTCAAGGGGATTTTATATCATTAAATGACATTTTAAAGAATTATATAACCATTTTGGAGCAATCACCGAAAATGCAGTGGTTAAGTTTTGATCTGCAGATTCGTCTTTACTGAGAAATGGATTGAGGAGGGTAGTTGACTATTCATATTAAAAACTCTACCCCAGGGGTGTCCAACCTTTTGACTTTCCAGGACCACTTTGGAAGAAGAGGAATTGTCTTGGGCTTCACATAAAATACACTCACAATAGGCATAGCTATTGAGCAGAAAAAGTCAGGTAGACCACAAGTTAATGATCACTGATATAGATAATGTACCTATCTGAGTAATAAAGCTTTATTTTTTTTGTAATTTTTTTATTACAATAGTAAAAGAGGGCAACATAAAACTAGTGCGATCTTTAAAAATGTTTTTGATTAACGCATCAATATTTGGTTCAGTGGATACAGTAACATTTCTCAATGAATTCCCAAGGTGCTCATCAGATATTTTGCTTCTAATTTTGTCCTATGCATGCTTCATTCTTGAAAATAGTTGCTCAAAAATATAGGTGCTGCTGAAAACTTATAAAAGCCCAGTGAATTGACACTGTCAAATTTTTCTTTGGCTTCACGTGGCCGTTAAGTATAAATGCATTTTTTATAGAAAATGTCAAATAACAAAAGTCAAAAATTTTAGGTAAGTTTACAAATTTGTGTTAGGCAACATTCATAGTCATCTTGGGCCACAGTTTGAACACCCCTGCTCTACCCTATCAACAAGCTCCAGTCAATTGTAACAGTCCCACTGCTAATTTGTCATTACAAATTGCCACTTCCATTACTAATCCATTCAACTATTTGTGACCACAGAAATAAATATACACTCTGGTTGAGATCTAGTTGAGGCTAGATAGTTTCTAGATAGTTTTATGCTTAGCAACTGAGCATTTTTTAAATATCCTTGACTGCAACATTACTTTATTGACCTTTAATGTGTTTGTTATTTTGTTGGGAACCCTTTTAACATGCTGACAAATATAGTGTTAGGTGCAGTAAAGGTAACAGAATACATTTTCTTTTTATCTTGCTTTTCAGTGTAGTACATGAATATAACATACTAGGTCTTTATGTAATTAAAAGTTTGTCCTTCAGCACACTGGTGTTGAAAGCAAATGAAATGAATTGTTTTGTAAAAAGAAAATAAAGCTGAGCTCCTACAAGGGGACTAAAATAACCCTTGCAGTGGCCTCCCCCACAGTACAGAAATACATTCTCATTTAGCTTAGGCCCTGCTGAACAGGTTTTATTATGCCTAGCTCTGGCAGGCTCTGGAGCTCTCCTTCTATACCTAATGGCCTGTGAGCAGGACCTCAGCAGATCACTTGCAATGCAGGGCTATTAACCGTGTATTCTACATGGTGAGTGAGAGCATGTGACCACAGCCTGAAGCACCTTCAAAGAGGAGAAGGCAGGGAACCCAGTCACACAGATCAAAAGAGTCTGTCAGAGCCATGAGTTAAGTAATTTCTCCTTACCTATTCTCCCCTAGCCTAAATGAGTGCTTAACCCTTGCAGGGTGGGGTAGGGCACTGTAAGAGTTGTTTTTGCCACATACCTAGAGTTCAGCTTTACGAATTTGAAGAAAAAAATAAATATAGGTAATATTTAAAGTGTTGCTAAACACAGGACCTTGCATTCACTATATCTGGTCTCTGACAGTACACAGAACATGGAAATGCAATTAGTTTAGGAAATATAAATTGCTAAATACCTTTTCTGTAGTATACAGCATTCTTGTGACTTCTATAGGTGTCTGGCTGAACATTGGTTAAAGCTTGTAGGAGAAGTTTTCATTCTCCTCCGACTGTCCTATGAGGCTGCATGACCCCTGACCCTCTGATTGGCCCTGTGCTGATCAAATGCACCTTCCAAAAAAAAAAAACTCTCTAGCAATACATAACAAACGGAGCATGTACAGAGTGCCTCTTGGGCTCTGTACTATCAGCAGATAGATTGGGGAATTTAGAAGAAGGGCAGGTAAGAAAAGACAGGATCAAACAGCCTTCTTACACAATTCAAAGGATTAACCCCCTAGGTTCCACAGTGAGTATAACAAGCATGCTTTACTGCATATACAGACTGATTTTACTGTTGTGGGTTTAGTAACACTAAAGTAATAGATAGTTGTAAATTGTGTGTTCACCACCTGCATCATGTCCTCTGTGTTCCAGAGGTTGAGCAAACAACACTGAAAAAAGTGCCTGAAATATTTTCAGTAGAGCTGCACTCAAATTGTTTTGCTTGAAGAAGACTAATTTTGATAATGGACATTCTGAATTAGTATAACAACCACAGGTTGGCTATGCTCCAGAAATGGGAAGCACTTTAAATTCCACTGTAAAAAGAGAATGCATTGCACAAAATCACTGAAATACAGTTGCAAGAAAAAGTATGTGAACCCCTTAGGATTACGTGGAGTGTTATATGTTATGTGCAATTAAACCATGGCAACATCTAATGTTTGTGTAGTATTATGCTCAGCAGACTGTGTTCTTCTATTGTTGTGACTTAGATGATGACGTTCAGAGCACATTTTATGCCCAATTCATGCAAAACTCCACGTAATCCCAAGGGGTTTACATACTTTTTCTTGCAACTGTATACAAGGTTTACATCTATACACAACGGTGGATATATGTATGTGTCAAATTGTGTACTTGTTTAAGTTGTGGTGTGTTTAACAGTGTGTTCTACATGTTGGTTTCCTTGCAATGACTGACTCCGACAGCCAAGAGCTGTGTAATAGAGCTGTCCATTTGGCAGTTTTGAAACTCTAAATGGGTCCAGTCATGATATCATGATTTACTGTATCCTTCCCTTTAAGCCCCATCCTCTTTTTTTATAGGAGTTTCGCAGCCTTAACATGCATAAGGGACTAATAGAAGAGCTGCAATCCTGTCTATCTGTAGAAACTGCAGCTCATACACCTCCCTTTTTATTACTGTATTCTGTGTGGTTTCTGTTCTGTACCACTGTATGAAAACATAGTCAATATTAGAGAGATCAATATATTTTAACTTAAAGTGGTTATAAACCCTTACATTTACCAGTGAGGTGATACACAGACATGAAAAAAAAAAACATCCTACATTAGTTGTACCCGTTTATCTACAGCTGTCTTTCCCCTACATCCATTGAAAGTGTAGAATTTACACAGGATCTCTCAGCTCTAGAAAGTAAGGGGGAGGGAGCTGAAGTTACATCAGTTAGGAGAGCTCTGAGAGCTGATTGGAGGGAAGGGACACACCCCCTTCACACAGCACACAGGAACAGAGCTGAGACTGTCAATCACAGACTGTGCCCTCCCCTGTCACCATTTTCTCTTGGTGTCAGGAAAACTCATCAGAAGTGACACATGTTTTAAGCAGAATAATGAGGCAGCAGACAGTTGGTATTCTGGACTGAGACAAGCACACACTATAGAAGGATATGATTTGTTCATATTTCATGGCTGAGGTGCACAACCACTTTAAAGAAGTAGAGGCTACTGTGAGTATCCTCTCTATATGTTCTTTTTTTCTCATTTTCCATTTTTCCATATGCAAATGCCAAAATATGAGAAACCAACATAACTTGTAAAAGAAAATAAAAATAGAATAAGTATGCATTGTACAGACAAACAATAACATGTTTGCATTCTTTTCTTTTCCTTTTTTAGGCTTTTTGGTGGACATAACTGGAAGCTACAAATACATGTACTTTGTATGTGGAATTATTGTAATTGTAGCAAGCATCTATTTGTTCATCGGGAATGCTATCAATTACAGATTACTTGCAAGAGAAAAGCTGGCAAACAAGGCACAAAATGCAGAAAAAGAGGCTGAACCTTTGAACACGCCAAACTCAGTTGATGTAGTCAAAAACCAATCTAACAAACAGACTAATTCATCTGATCGAGAAACAAGTATATAATCAGAACACGTATTTATTGTTAATATTTTAAAAACCAGTAATATGCAAGTATTATACAGAACTCAGAAAATGGTACTGTGAGCATTATGATGTAAAGACTTACAGACATGTTTTGTAAATTACATTTGAAAATGTTAAGGCAAGGCCAGATGGGAGCTTTAATTTTTGCATTTTGTAAAAGAACAAAAACAAACAAACAACAAAAAAAAATAAATAAACGCACACCGAATATCACCACGTTATAACATATAGGGACATACTGGGGGAGAGATGTGCTAAAATTGGAGCACTCAGACTCTGGTACTGCTGTTCATTGTAGCCAATCAGCTTTTAACTTCAGCTTGTTTAATTAAGCTTTGACAATAAAACCTGGAAGCTGATTGGTTTGTATGCAGAGCTGCACCAGATTTTGCATACTCCAGTTTTAATAAATCCCCCCATACTGTTTATAAAGCAGTGAACGTGACATTCACAGGTGATCAATCATTCCTATTTTAAACACATGCACCAGGAAGATTCACTTGGAGTGAATATATAGTGAATGCCATATTTGCTGCCTTATAAATACCCCAATGTGTTTCAGTAGAGGACTAAATTTCCCTGTTACAGTGCTTTGTAATTGAAAAAAAAAATGCAGCACTCTGAAGTTACACAATATATGACATCACAACCTAATAAGAGGTTTAGGAAGGTAGTGTACTTCACGTCAAATATTATTCTGTTGCATTCTACAACATATTTTCATAAGTGCCTGACAGGGAGGGAGATTCTCCACATGTCCCAAAGCAATTTAGGGTTATGTTTTTTTTTTACATTGCATGATTTTAGATTTAGATTTTTTTGTATTTTTAATTACAAAAAAAAAGAAACCTCTAAGTATCCACTAAAGCATCCCAAAGGCTATTTATTTTTTACAAATTTAGGCCACATTCAAACTGCAGTTTGTTTTCAAATGCATTTATATGCAGTACATACTTGGTTTTATGCAGTATGGGTCAGTTGCCAATCATTTTTTAAGGCACTCCAATAAACATGCACAAAAAAAATGTTAAAAAAGTCTGATGCGTTCTTGATCTGGAGATGAGCATTGAGGGCTCATTAAATATCAATGGACCAGTTTAACACAATACACCAAAAGATGCAAAAAAATGTTAATGGGCTCCAAAACAATGTTCCTTTCCATCATATTTCACTAATTTGTTCCTAATATCCAAAAAAGTAAATCTGCAGTTTGAAATATAAAGAGATATTTGAGATGATCATATTTTGTATTCTAAAGCATTTATGTTGAGATTATCTATTGCAGTATGAATCATAGGCATAGCTTGAAGCTGGTTGCCCCAATGCAAAAGTTGACCTGGGGCCCCCCACTACCACTCACCACTTCCACTTTGCGCCAAGATACTCCCATTACGTGCCAAGATGCTTCAAGTGGCTAAAGAGTTATTTTAGAGATTAATTTACATATTCAGAGGGGATGTCAAAAGATTTTGTAGAAACTATCCTAGTAATGTCATGACTTCGCCCCCACCCTCTCCATTCTAGTAATGACATGACCTTACTCCCTTCTCCCCATCCTACTAATAACATGACCTTGCCCCTTCCCCCCATCCTAATAATCACATGACCTTGCCCCTCCCCCCATCCTAGTAATGACATGACCTCCCCCCTCCCCCCATCCTAGTAATGACATGACCTTCCCCCTCCCCCCATCCTAGTAATGACATGACATCACCCCCTCCCACCATCCTAGTAATGACATGACCTCACCCCTGCCTCCATCCTAGTAATGACATGACCTCACCCCCCCCCCCCACACCATCCTAGTAATGATATGACCTCACCCCCCCTCCCCAATAACTACATTACCTCATCTCTCTCCCCCATCCTAGTAAAAACATGACCTCCCCCCATCCTAGTAATGACATTACCTCACCCCCCCCCACCCATCCTAGTAATGATATGACCTCACCCCCCCTCCCCAATAACTACATTACCTCATCTCTCCCCCCATACTAGTAAAAATATGACCTCCCCCCAACCTAGTAATGACATGACCTTCCCCCTCCCCCCATCCTAGTAATGACATGACCTCACCCCTCACCCCATTCTTGAAATGCTATGAACTCCCCCCCTCCCCAATAACTACATTACCTCATCTCTCCCCCCATCCTAGTAATGACATGACCCCCCCCCCCCCCCCATCCTAGTAATGACATGACCTCCCCCCATCCTAGTAATGATATGAACTCACCCCCCTCCCCAATAACTACATTACCTCATCTCTCCCCCCATCCTAGTAAAAACATGACCTCCCCCATCCTAGTAATAATATGACCTCCCCCCCCCCCTCCCCCCATTCTAGTAATGACATGACCTCCCCCCTCCCCCATCCTAGTAATGACATGACCTCCCCCCCTCCCCCATCCTAGTAATGATATAAACTCACCCCCCCTCCCCAATAACTACATTACCTCACCTCTCCCCCCCCCATCCTAGTAATGACATGACCTCCCCCCTCCCCCATCCTAGTAATGATATGAACTCACCCCCCTTACCAATAACTACATTACCTCATCTCTCCCCCCATCCTAGTAAAAACATGACCTCGCCCCTCCCCCCACCATATGATCATCCCAGGGTGGGGAGGTACAGAGAATCCACATTAGGTGAGTAAGAAGAGCAGTGTTTCACCTTAGCTTAGTTACAGTGGTCCTGGCTCTCAGACAACTCTCCTCCTGCCATGCTTCTCAGTCCAAGGATGCTCTCGGCCCTGAGCTGTGCTTTCCTGCATCGTAACAGACAGGCAGCTCACTGTCCCCACCACTGTTGTCAGCAAACTGCCATGCTGGCTGATCTCGGTTCTTCACTCTGTTCAGGAAACGTGAGCATATATGAGAGACAATGAGTGTTGAGGAGGGGTGTGGACTGAGGAGAAGGCAAACAGCTAGAAGCTGAATACTGGATTATAGAGTTTGGCTGGGGGGACACAAGAGATCGGAGTTGGACTTCAGCTCAGGGACTTTGTGGGGGAAATGTAATATGTCAACAGGGAGCAGAGCCGCGGGTCCCCTGGAGCTAGGGGCAGGGTTGCAATTGCGACCACTGCGACCCCTGATGCTATGCCCATTGTTTGAAGGTAATCTTACATTTTCCTTTATAAGTGCACAATTTTGTTTTTGTTTTGTTTTTAAAAGAAATGATTACAATGCCTTTCCTCTGCCTTAATCACACCCAGAAAATCCCAGCTATGCTAATTTAGGACAAGTCCTTTATATGCTGTATGCTGTGTCACAGCTCCCGAAATGTAAACTAAAAGAATTGGGACAAAAAGATAAGACCAATTATACATGTAAACACGTGATCTATAAATAGCCAGCAAATGGCTAATTATTGCAAACATTTATTAATATTGATGAAATTATCATTTTTTCTATGTTATAAATGCATTACTTTAGGAATGTATGTAGACAATATTGTCTACTACACAGGGAGGTGGTAGAAGAGCTATTCCAGCAACTGTACTTTTAAGTATGTTTCATGGTGAACTAAATTATTGCAGCAAAACGTAGCTATATGTAATATTTGACAACCGTATTGGGATGAGTGCAAATGGGAACTTCCAACCAGCCAACAAGGCTTGTTTTTTTTTTTCTTTTTTTCTGATCTTGTGTGACCCATTGGTAATCCATCATATGAACAGTGGGCAGAAGTTATTTCCTGTGTACTATGTGCACGTCAGTTGACATTTTTTCTCTCAATTTAAAAGAGCAAATCCACCTAAAATGAAGACATGTATGTTCTAGAAGAAATGGGGTGAATTTTTATCATTTCTTTCACTGATCTGGGATCATTTTGGGGCAATATCACCCCAGTTCAAGCATGCCAGTGACAGAATGGGACTCTTTGGCTAAGCTATTGTTGTCACTGGAATATAGAAATTATTTTCACTGTATATTTTTAGTTGATTAAAAAGCTAATAAAGGGCACACACACTATTTTCTGTGTTTGTGCTGACCCCTAGTGGATGCTGTAGATAAATGTACTGAGAACTCAGTTGTCTTAGAAAGTTTGGCTCAAAAGCCCTGGGAGAGGATTGAACCTGTTACAGTTCAAAAGGATCTAAGAAAACAGTCTTTGTTTCTTACATATTAATATGATATTCATGTCATCAATATTACGCAGAGCTGTAGAAAAAGCCTAATTATCATAAAATGTCAAAATGCTATTGGATCCTCTGAAATTACACAGCTAGTTGGTAAATACCACATAAGAGATTTGATTCTTTATTTTTGCCCTAATTTTGTGTTTAAGTGATAATAATGAAAGCAAATATGGCAAAATATAGAACGTAAATACTTTTTTACATTTGAAGAGAGTTCTGGGGTTGCACATTTATTGACTTGAACATCAATGGAGAAAGACTGTCATGAGTACATTCTTTTGAAAAAAAATGTACAAAAGGGCCTGGGGAGTAATAGTGCTTAGTTGAAACAGTGTTGAAAAAATAGATTTGCTAAAATCCCAGTGCCTTTCTGTTTAATTACTATTTTATGTGAGAGTCTACTTCATCAATTCCAAAACTGAGAACTGGATGACTTTGTGACTGCTTTGCATATTTGGCTGTTGAATGCAGTATAGTGTATTAGTCTAAAGAGTATGATTATTATTTGGATTTTCAGCTAGTTTAAAATGGACATTTCAGTAATGTACCTGTAACATTTTATTATATAAACATTATATAATATATAAACAATTCCTGATATGTCACAACAAACAGCAATGACATAAAGTTAAAAAAAAAACTGTAATTATATTATAGATAGATAATATTGTAGATTATAAATCTAGAACCCTAACTCCAAAAAAGTTCTGTGTAAAATCTACATAAAAATACAATGCCATACCATATATAACTCAACAGCACTGCTCTTAACTTATATTGAATAAAACAGACTACTATCCATGGGCTCAATAGTCCAATAAAGTGCAATACATGC